CTCCGTAGATAACATGTGCTTGACTGGCGTCTTGCGTTGGGTACAGAGTTAGCAGCTGATCCACCTGGCTGATGAAGCCAGATAGTTTTCTAGGTGTTCCATCGTAATAATGGAGCTCTTTAATCTGAGCCAACAGCTGGTTTAGATGAACTTCAGAGAGTTGTTGGGGAACTGTCATTTTGTGTTTGCTGGTTAGTAAGTTTATTGATCAGGTAATTTTTCAGAATTAAATAACTTCTTTTTGAATTTTTGCTTTTCTGACCGCACGGGATTTTATTTTTAATTGTCTGAATCACATAGATTCTTTTGCGGATCACTATTTTTAGAATCACTTTTAAAATTCGCTGGTTTCAGGATTGCTATAGCGTATCCTTCAGTTAAGCCAGTATCGTACTTTAAGGACTCTTTTGTTTTAGGATCCTATCGGCTGCGCCAATTAAATGCTTAAATATTCATAATTTAAAAAAAATACAATTTTATTTAACTGAATATATGTTTACAAGATTTTTATAATTATTTGAAGAAAACCGACCGAGTAGTTTCGAGGCTCAAACTGCACTTGACTTATTAGTCTGAATTGATTGGCGTTCAAGCCTCGGTCTCGAGCTTTTAAATGTTGAGTCAAACTTTAAAAGTTCTAAAGAGAATTTGGAGAGAGCTTGGAGTTAATGATTAATCTTCTCTTGGATTCAAGTGCATTCGCTCTTGGATACAAGTGCTCTTTATTTTACGATCTTGTTATCGAAATGTAATAATTTTGTTTTCGACTTGGCAAGTCCGAACTTTAAACGTGGGAACGTGACAATCGGGTGATGGCTTAAGCCATAAAGTTTAGTCTACTTGGAGGGACTGTCTGGAGTTTCAGATTTCATCCTTTGTGGAGCCTGGGTTTATTCCACTAGCCTTGGCTTTAGGATTCATATAACCGTCTGGTTGCTATCTGGTGTGTACTGGATAAACTATGGGTAGCAAAGGGTGTGTTGGGCAAGTGTGATTGTGATAAGTGTTTACAGGGTATTCCAATAATGTGTGTTGTCGTAGGCAGAGTCCGTGGGACTATGGGTATGCCACTATATATATAAAAATTAATTGCTGTTCGTTAGTCTCACCAAAACTCGAGAACGGCTGAACGGATTTATCTTATCTTAGTCTTGAGATGTTCGTTAAGCTCTAGTGAAGGTTTAAAACCAGCCCTTTTCTATTTCTCATACAAACGTTTTCTAAATATTTGAACTTTATTGCTACTCAATAAAAAGAATATGGAGGCAGAAGTTGAAAAAGCGGGGGAGCGAATAATCGGACAACATATACTTTTTATCCGCCATATGCTGGCAGTTTCTGCAAGACAATAGGGATCTTTTTATACCCTTGCAGGGTATTATAGTTTCAGTCAGAAGTTCGCAACGCAGTGAAGGAGACCTTTCCTACCCTATAAAGTATTTATATGCTTGATCAGCATCAACAGCCGAGTCAATCTAGCCATGTCCGTCTGTCCGTCCGTCCGGTCTGTCCGTTTCTACGCAAACTAGTCCCTCAGTTTTAAAGCTATCTGAATGAAACTTTGCATATAGTCTTCTATATACTCTCACTGCTATATATGTCGGAACGGGCCGGATCGGACGACTATATCTTATAGCTGCCATAGGAACGATCGGGAAATTAATCGAAAAAAATGATAACTTCGTTGTTTTTCAACGTATTTTAATCTACTTTGAGACATGAGCTTCTGGTATTATTTCAGTATTTTGGTATAAATCTTATGAAAATCGGACGACTATATCTTATAGCTGCCATAAGAACGATAGGGAAAGTAATAGAAAAAATTATAACTTCGTTGTTTTTCAACGTATTTTCATCTACTTTGAGACATGAGCTTTTAGTATTATTTCAGAATTTTTGTAACAATATTATGAAAATCGGACAACTATATCATATAGCTGCCATGGAAGCGATCCGTAGATGTAGAGAAAATGTAAAGCTGGGAATGTATAACTGTAACTGTCAAACTGTAAACATGATAAGTATTGGTAAAATGTTAAGAAACTCTGTTTAGTGTCTGTTTTCGGCATTATAATTTATAATATAAATATGAAAACCAATCTGCAAGGGTATACAAACTTAGGCGTGCCGAAGTTAGCTTCCTTTCTTTTTTTTATTTTTATTAAAGTTAGTCGAAAATTTGATTTTTGATTTGAATTTTTTGTGGTACAAACGTCCCTTTGAATTTAGGCAGCAAATTGGTACTAAACCCATGTCGAAAGGTGGGAGGTAAGGATGCCGCACACTAGTTATACTTTCCCATTTTTCGTTCTACAGTAGACTTTGTGTAAAGACATTGTCTCGGCATTGTCCCTGTCTGAAAAATTCAAATGACTGCAATTTACTTGACTTCCGCTTCCGGTCATCTTGAGGCATTACTTGCTTTCAGTAAAATATTGGCTGTATCTTTGTAACTCTAATTATTATCGTGTGGCCCATTTAAATGTGCTATGCTGTGTAATTACATTTTCGGGCACGCTCGCCCTTTGGTCACATTTTTGTGGTTGGCCATGCAGTCCTGCGGCTTTATAGTCTCCAAGTTTTTAAACTTTAGTATCGAGTTGAGTCAGAGGGGATGTTTGACGTGACGTTCGGCACTCACAAGCCAGATTGGCACGACTGTTTGTTCTGAGGGTAGTGTGTAGCAGAACAAATAATGTTTGACAAATGTAACACACATTATGCGGCTGTGAAATTGTCGCTGTACTCAGGATATCCAATTTAATTTCGTATTCTAAAACCAGACAACAATTAAACCGCAATACCAACACCTCATTTTCTTAATAAAAAATATATTCTAACATTAATTAAAACTCCATTTAATTATTTAATTTTACATAAAAAAAACTATTTAACATATTGCTTATTATTTAATGCAATGACTTCATTCTTTCAACACACCCTTTCAGAGATTATTACAATTATGCTTAGAAGGTTGCAGAAATTTCAATTTCCCCTTATTGCGTTGCAATGAACCCCATTAATATGAATTTCCTCCGAATGCTCAACAAGAACCAAATAATCATAGAACTCCTATTTTCTATAGTTGTAAACATAAAGAAATCCAGATATCTGTAATGCACATTAATTGTCGCTCTATGGGGAGAACGACTTCCATATACGCTTACAAAGCCAGTGCTATACCACCTATATTGTCTCCCATATTTATGTATAATAATAAATTACTTTGCGTAAAAACGGGAGACAAAAATGTTTCGGTTACGCCAAACTGCAAATTTGTTTTACGTTAAAAACTGCAATTGTTATGCGTAAAAACTGTACTTTACAACTTCTATATGAATATAAATCTTAATTTAAATTAAAATTATTTGTTTATATTTTTATAATTTCTTATATTAATTTCCCAATCTTTCCTATGGCACCTATGATATAGTCGTCCGATCCGGCCTGTTCCGACTAATATACGAGTGAGAGTAATCGGCAGACTATTTGCAAAGTTTCATTCAAATAGATTTAAAACTAGATTAAATACAGACGGACATGGCTATATCGACTCTGCTGTTAATGCTGATCAAGAATATAGTATATGTTTTGTAGGGTCGGAAATGACTCCTTCACTTCGTTGCAAACTAGACTAAAATTATAATACCCTGCAAGGGTATAAAAGTATAGTGATTTTTTGTTTACTTCCTTGCCAAATACCTTGTTCCCTGGACAAATTGTCTATAGCTCCGATATCTTAGTATATAATTTCATAACACACGTTATTTGAAAATATTTTGGGAAATTCGTAAGGATAAGTTTCACGGAAAATAATAGTTGAGCTCCAAGTCAGATTTCCTGGCTGTTTTTTTTTTCTTCTGATAATGTATTTAAATTTGCGATAAATGTACAGTACAGTATACCTGTGAACACGAGCAATTATTGGCAATATTACAATATTCACGTTTTCAGCTGTTTGCAATTTTGTATGCATTCAGGCAGATGTCCTTGTATTTTAACACAATCAGGCCTGTTCTTATTTCCACTTCCGCAAAATTAACTTGGATTTGGTTTTCCCTGACCTATTCTTTTTTTCACTTCCGTTTTTCCCTATAATTATAATTATAATTATTTTGTGGGTGCACCTCAGAATAGGTTCGATTTTAATCTTCAACATAATTGCAAGTCCCTGTTCTAGATTCCGAACTGAATAGTCGGATTTGAGATTTAAGGGTTGTCAGCGTTCCAAAATAGATTGACATATGCCTAAGACTAATTTCAAATAATTACTTTATAGGTTGTTTTACAATTTAAATCTCGGTTATAACTTATAAGTTTAAAGTTTATGAAAAATACCATCCAAATTAATCGACAAACTAAACTCAACGGTGTGCTTATACCATTATGATACTAGTGCATTAATTAGAGATTTCATTAATGATTTGACACTTTTAGAATAAGGCATTATCTACTTCATTGCCGTGAAAATCGATAGATCTACATAAAATATAATAGATTTGGGCCGATAACAAAATACGGTTTTAATGAAGAAAATTGTAATTGAAAAGCAAATTAGCCAGCTCATTAGAGGCCGAAACTCAAAGTGGTGTCGCAATGAGAATTTTATTTTTATTTAATTTTGCTGGTTTCTGAACTGAAAAAAATATTAGAAAATTAGAAAAAATGTTACCGTAGTCGTGTTACCCAAATAATCAAAGAAAAATTAAGGTCCTAATAATGTAGCTGATTAATGAAAACTGCATTAAAGTTTCATAGGGCCATTAGTAAATCTCAGATAAAGCAAACCCATTTCTTAAGAGCCACCATCTGAAATTATTTCAGATTTTATAGGAAATCTAACAAAATTTTCCTAAATCAACAAGGAAATTCGCTTATGTTAAAGAAAAATCGGCAAATGGTATTAAGCCCACTTCCGAGTGGAAGCTGAAACAAGCCTGAATATACATTGTTATTAAGACAATTCAAATAATGTTTATTATTTTGACATATTAATGCAGGTCAAACCATCTGACTCGACATACTTTGCTGTTGACTTTATTGAGCATGGACATGGTATAAGTAAATACCGTTTACGATTTTTCGAGGACTTTCCATTGGATCAACACTTTTATGTATTGGTCACATCACCTGAGACGGAGCAGAGAATCGAGGTATGTGTTTATATACACTTTTAATTATAATTACACAGATCGACACACATTCAAACTTTTTTCTATACGTTGAATAAGCTCAAATAATTCTCAAAGTTCTTGGCCTTCACATTGCTAATTCGAAAATAAATCAAATTAAAAGGCAAGCTCAAATTCATAATTAAGAAACATTTGCCTATTTGTTCTACAGGTGACCATTGTTGGCAGCACTATGTTGGCTCAAAAATGTGCTGGACGTTCGTACGGCGGACCTTTGGTGTATAGGATATTGGAGAACTTCGGTTTTATTCTTACTACAACGGTGATTGTTGTCACATCAATCTGGGGTAAGTTTTGACCACAGGGACAGAAACCAAGTAAATTATAAGTTTATGATGAATTCTAACCATTTGCACTGTGTCTAAAAGTCAATAACTGGCTTTCGGTAAGTAAAACCAGAATTTGACACGAAAGTAAATTATGTTTGTATGTTTTTTGTTCTATATACGGCCCCTCAAAATCAATTATTAGGAATATTTGGATAACTCTTTTTTGGTCTTTAAGATATTTATTGATTTTTCTACATTTATATTTAAATTTATATACAAAAAGTTTACAAGAAACATTTGACACGCTTAGAAATATATAGAAAATTCTCAATATAATAATAAAAGCCTATGTCTCGGAAGTTTGAAGTTACAGCAACAGAAAAGCACACAAAAACCGTTTATTTTAGCTTGGACTTTTAATAGAAAAATTCCACTTTTGAACATTTATATTTTAAGTTGTGTGCGTAGGTTGTAATATCTCCTATCAGAACTCGTTGTTCAACCTTTTTGCGATGTACATAGGCCTTGCGTCGAGGTTTGGTTAAGGATTACCGCTTCGTAAACACTTTGGCTACCTTTCAAGTTTCTTAAACTAATAAGATGCTGGATTTGCTCTTATTTTATGTATGACCCAATTCTGAGACAACAGCAACGAAAAGGCAATAATATAAGCAGTTGCATTTTCGTTGATTGCACTTTTTTAGGCATGAGCATATGTATGTATGTATCGTTAAACTTTTATTTTGTTTCCTTCAAACTTAACTTAACCGTTTTTCGCTCTATTTCAATTGCAGTGTACATGTCGTGCTTCCAAACGCAGGGCGTCACACAAGTCAACTCCGAGGGTAAGTTTAATTAATAATTTTCCGAAAACACACAAACGACGACGAGGTGAGAGAGAAACTGCGAGGGGTGGCTGAAGCCCCGAGCAAACTGCTCTACCCTTCTGTATCAGTTTAAAGTTTTTAGTCATTTCGTGCATGAAAACTAAAAGGTTTTGGGCAGCGGCAACGATAGTAACCTAAGAAAGAAAAAGCTATTATCACCAGCATTGGAGGCTGGGTTCGCCGCACTCAGTGATATTTTGAATCTTGGAAAGGTCAATGGTAGGGGAAGGGTTCCGTTTAACCGACACTTAAATTATAGGTTTCTTTTCTTTAAAGTTTCTTTAAATTATCTATTATCTATCAACTATAAACTTCCCTGTTCAAAGGGTTCAACTATATAAACTAAAATTTAAAGTAATCTGATATTTTCTTATATTTGGAAGCCGTCGTTTTACACAGAATACACTAGCTTTTTACATATGTTACGAACTCAAAATTACCAGCTTTTTTCTATTGTACTCTCAGTATTTCAGACAAGCAAATCGAAGGCGCATGTTCAAAGATTACCGCATCACGATGATACATTTAGTAAGTGGTTTTCGTTTGTTTTGTTGTGATTATGACACATTTCCTCTTTATTTTATATTTTACAGACAAGTCTCGTTCGCGTAGCTTTTCACCTAGTCACAATTCGGAATCTTCGACGGAGGCCTACATATACGGATATCCACGGTTAAACTCGCCAAACCGATCAGGAAACTCGCCCCGTTTTAGCTAGTTTATATCCTTTTTATTGTAACTATTTTCAACGACAAACCCTGAGAGAGACACTAGAGATTTAACAATTAATTACTTATAGTTTATGTAAAAAGTTGGTTGTACCCTTTTGTCGCATTAGGAATAGTTATCAATATATATAGATCATAAGAGGACACGGTGTGTGTACTTATAAGGAAGTTTAACATTCAGCCAAAGGACTTGTAATGCATTTATGATTTATTTCAATAAAAAATGATATTAAATAAAATTAAAATGTTAAAACCTAAAAATCATATACTTTTCAGAGTCGTTTTAGGGATTGGATTTGGATTTTTTTCGTTTTTTTCCAAGCCCTTAACACGGGACAAACGTTACAGAAAAGTGCTTTATGTCGTTGCATTTTTAATTAATTGAAAATTTCATTTTAAACCTTTTTAACAATTTTTTGTTTTATATTTTAATATATAGTTTTTAAGAAACAGATTAAATATTTATACCCTTGCAGGGTATTATTATTTTGGACAGAAGCTTGTAACGCATTGAAGGTCATTTACGAACCCACAAAGTAAATGTATTCTAGATTAGCGTCAACAGCCGAGTCGATATAGCCATGTAAGCAAATTAGTCTCAAAGTTTTGAAGCTATCTATCTACCTGAATGAAACTTTGAAAAGATCGAAAATTTTCAACATATTTTCACCGAATATGGACACGGCTATTTTGCATAATTTAAAAATTTTGCTTTTAATTTTATGAAAAACATATATATCATATTGCTTTCGATCTTTAAGCCAGGCCAACACGACAAGCTGCAAAATAAAGCTGCAAATAAAAAGTAATGAGAGTTTTAATTACTCGGATTTCAGAATGGTTAGTCTCTCTGTTAAAAGAAAAGCTCTCTTCTTAAAAACACCTTGCAAAATAAAGCGTAAATAAGCGTGTGTTCTCAAATGGGACTTGACCAGGGAGGCCGGATTCTTGACAGCCACACCTAATTAAAAGCTCGGCTTTTCCTGTTCGCTACAATATAGCGGCCATAGGAACGATCCGGAAATTAATCAAAAAAAAGTATAGCTTCGTTGTTTTTCCACGTAGTTTATCTACTCTGAAATATTATCTTTTTTCTTTTATATTAGAATTTTGGGTTTGATTTGATAAAAAATTGGATAACTATATCATATAGCTGCCATAATAATTCGGTAGATGTACAGAAAATGTAAATATGGGAGTGTAAAACTGTAAGTGTCGAACTGTAAATATAGTAAGTATAGGCAAATGTAATGAAACTTGAAATTACTGTTTTTTTTCAGCATTTATATTTATAATTTTTATTATATTAGCTATTTTAACACCAAAATACAGTTATTTTATACGATTAAATATATATTTTTTAAAATTTTATTTAAATTATTATATGCTGTAGAAATATACAACTTTTATATATTTCCTGTTGTTTTTTAATTCATTTTAACAGAATGGATCGATTGTTAATGAATCAATTGCAAACTGCATGGGTGTACAAACTTCGGCGTGCCGAAGTTAACATTATTTCTTGTTCAAATTCAAGTTTTTTAAATTTTATCAAAAACAAGTTGTATATATAAATAAATATATTATGCGTATATCTCTTGTTAGTTTTTCTTTTCATTTGAAGGGTATAAAAAGGTTAGCTTCCCTTCTTGTTTTATTAGGTTTTCGATTTTCTTCCAAGCGTTACAGTATTTTAACTTTACATTTTACTATGGGGAATTTGGCCATTTTTATGGTATTAAGGGGGTCTTCTCACTCAAAACCCGTTGTTCAAAGAGTAATGATACTTCAAACTTGGTGGTCGAAAAAAAAGGTGTCGTCCTGGCGGCCATGATTCAGGGTCTCCAGAGCGTCCGAAATGAAAAAAACAACGGGGCTATAATCAGAATAGATGGCATTTTCGGGTGACGGAACAGATTTTTTTTTTAAATTTTTTTAAACAAAATGGCGGCCATTCAAAAAAATTTCGATTTCGGGCTTTTGTTTTGTAGTTTAGTGTAAAAAAAATAGAAAAAAATTTTTTTTTTAATCTGTTCCGTTTCCCGAGAATGGTGACAATTCTGCGTCGATTCCACTTTGTTTCATGAAAATCGGTTCAGTTGAACTGGAGATATCATGGCCGCCAGTTCGAAAAACGTGGTTTCGAGATAAACGCGTTTGAAGTTTGAAAAAAGCTCATTTTGAGAAGATCTTGCTTCACAAAAAAGTCTGTATCTTCTAAAGTATTTCGAATATCTAAAAATCCTTTTGGGGACATATACACAACATCCCAAGATATAAATAAATTTAAAAAAAAAAATGGAAAAAAAAGTTTCCCAATGAGAAGACCCCCTTAAGGGGGGGGTAAGGTATTTAATTTTTTTTTTCGTCAATTTTTTTTTATTTTTTATTTTGAAAGTTCAACATCTTTAGAATATTGTGTCCAAGTTTTATATCGATCAGAGTGACGAAGTTATGCGGAGTTGAACGAAGGTCGGTTGGTGTTCAATGCATGAGAATCACAAAGTTTAAAGCGCTCTCCTGCAAAATTCAAATTTTCCAATCGGTGTACACGATTACAGAAAAACTACTGGACCGATCGATTTGAAATTTGACACACACATTCTTTAACTAATTCCTCAGGTATTCACGTCGGCCTTTTTTTAATTTTTAATTTTTATATATTTTTAAATTAAGAAATGACGTTTTTTTTTAGTCAAAAATCGGGTTTTTGACTTTCAAACTTCCTAAAAAATCACAAAAAAAAAAAAAAAAAAAAAACGCTTCCTGAATACCTCGGGACACTTATCCTTTAATGAATGAGGTATAATTTTTTTAGATCGGATGATCCTGTGGACTGTTAGGATGTACACCGCAAAACAACTTTTTTTGGAGGCGACTCGGGAGATTCCCTATAACTTCTCTACCTCTAAATATTTTTCAATACAAAATTTATCAAAAATTATTCAAATGTTGTGTTATTATATGGTATTTAATTCATTAAGCTAACTTTAGCCGTTCCGCCATAATAATGAAAAGTGGCCTTTTTTGCACCGAATTAACCTTACCCCCCCCCTTAAGGGGGTTTCCTGAATTACAAGGTAAAAAAAATCGATTTTTTTTTATTGCTTGAATCGATAGAAAATTTATCTAAGAATATACCACAAAAATTTCAGAAGCCAATTCGAAGTGTTTTCGAAGATACAGAGATGAAAGCAAAGGAGCGCCGAGCAGGTTTGCGAGCGCTTGAAAACTTTGAAGCGCGTTTTCTCCACTTTTCATTTTTACGATTTTTTCAAATTGGCGGGAAAGATAACAAAAAACTTATTGACCGATTGAAACGAATAAAGGCTTATTCTCTTTAGAATTAAATTCTCTTCTAGTTGAACTAAAACGGTTGTTAAAGTCAATATTTTATCCCGAAAAATGCATTTTTTTTAAACCTGAATAAAAGTTCCGATTTCACGATTTTCTCCGGTTTTTCTTAGTTTAACTATAAAATGCACTTATAAAAATTGAAAATTTTTTTGGATTTTTTGTTTTAGACAAGAATTACGAGCTGCACATTTCCCGCCAATTAGGGACTGCTGTGACGAGGCGCTTCAGTGAACTACTTATTAGTCCGCCATTTTATAATATTTATTTACGAAAAAATTTATTTAAGCACCTTAAATATGTACAAAAATATACCAAAAAATTGTCTTTATTTTCAAGCTTTTCATCAGATATAAAATATAAAACGTCATTTTCATCTTCAATTTCTTTTAAAGTGTTATATTTTTTTTTTTTTTAATTACCTTGAGAAACACTAAGGATTATCGCAATATACTAGTAATACACGCACAGATCAATATATGGTATTAGTACACATAATCCCTTACGATTGGTCTCCATCAAAATTTTAATCAAAAATTGGTTCTACTTTTGAGTTTCGCACTTTTAAAGTAACCAAACAAAAAATAGCTGTTTTCAATCAGGTGCATTTTGGCTACAACAGCCGACTTTAACAGTGGATATGTTAAGCCTGCACTGCACTGTTAACTAACATTTCTGGTACTACATTTTATAGAGCCATATATTTGTAATATGTTTACATAAAAAAACTCATATATTAAAAGATTGATAAAATGACCAAATACCATAAAAATGGCCAAATTCCCCATAGTGCATTGTTACGCTAGGCACAATGTGGATTTTTAAGTATGACGTGCGTCGCATGAGCAGTTTAAAATATATAGTTAAGTACTTAAGTTTATTACTTTCCAGAAAACGAAGGTTTTCTTTTTTGCTTTCAAAAACTCGTTACAGCTTAACCAAATCGGGTAACTAGGGTTAAAAGGCAGAGTGCTAAGCACGACTCGTGAAAAGATTTATTAATATTATATTATTATTTATTGCCTGGACATTATGGGTACCCCTCATGTGCTATGTTTCACACTCACACGTCATCACTTAAACGCAAATTCTTTTGCAGTTAAACAGAAACTACGATATTCGGTTTCGTTATCGTTTATTCCCATAAATTATAAATTGCGTATTTAACCGTGAAGCATGCGCCTGACCAGCAAATGGTCGGCAACTCACATTAACCGTCTTGGGAGGATTAAATGGACCTCAAGTTAACGCGACAGGGCATCTGACAAGAGCCCTGACCATTCCAGTTTTAGTCTGCCCACTCTGTTTTGATTAAGATGCTTCAACTTGACTTCACTCGTGTGTTAAGAGGCCCTAAGGAAGTGTGTGCATGGGTGGGGAGCATGCTTGATTTGCCAATTTTCGGTTCACTGAAGTCGAACTGGGAAGAAGTTTACTGTCGAGCCCTTAAATTACAAATGATATTCTAATCAGATTTATGTTTCGTTCCAGTAAATGGCTTATGTCGAAGTCCGTGTCACATTAGTGGGCGCCCTGTTTACGGCCAACTAAAAAATACAAAGCTATATTACTATTGATTATTTTCTTATTAATCAGTCACATTGTCACTTACAGGGAATAGACACAGACTCTATCGTTCTTTCTCATCGCTAAATTAACCCACCAAGAATACTTTATGACACTTTAAGACACTTAAAAGATTGACATTTTCTTAATTTTTAAGCTCTTTGTTAGACATAAAATACGAAATGTGAATTTCATCTACAATTTCCTCAATTAGGGATTATTTTTTTAAATTTCCCAAATAATTTCAGCTGGCCACTTTCAACAAATGGGTTTGGTTATTCTGAGTTTTGCTAATAACGGGCTGAACAAATTTTGGTTCGCTGTAGTCTTCACATCATGGATACTAATGGAGCACTAATTTAATAAATTTGCGGCGCAAATAAGCATATTGAAATATTTTAAATCGCAGTCAGCTCTTCTGGTGCCGAAATGCTAGAGAAAGGAGTTGCCGAGGTTGTGGGAAAACTTTCCTAAGCATAACGTTTAGTTTAGTTTGTAAATTTAATTGGCTGGTATTTTAAACAAAACAAAAAAGGAAGCTAACTTCGGCACGTCGAAGAATCGAGCCATTCTGGTAAAATAATAAGAAAAAAAAATAAAAGAAAATATATAAAAGTTGTTTGTATATTTATACATAGCATAAATAAAGTGCTGAAAACACACACAAAAAAGACTTTCATAACATTTTACCTATATTTATGTTTACGGCTGGCAAAAATCCTCCATCTGAACCCTCCCCGAGGGTGCCAGCTGGGCAATGGGCACTGTATTAACCCGGACACCAGGCTGCTTGCCCCGTCCGCGATAATACAGTGTCTAGCAAAGGCTACGGTTCAACTCCTTCTGCCCTAAAAAGCCGAAGGAAGTGAGCCGTTAGCCATGGCTGGAGGTTCCTGGCGGAAGGAATAAAACGCAAGTGGGGATGTACCCCTGGAAAAGAAACCATTCTAGAGGGTTTAAAGAAAGAAACCAGGACTGGGATGTCAGCCCAAACGTCAGTGGAAGGCGTGACCACTACCACCGGCGAGCACAGGGGGGAGCAATCCTCTCTGTCTGTCGCCAGCGGGTACACCTCTGATGTGACGGGAGCAGGTCATGTCAGTTGCAACGCTACTGCCGAAAAAACAACGCAGGGGAAGTTGAGCCGCTCACGTGCCATAGTCGGTACAGACTCGGACCTTGAGAGCGTGCAGCTCTCCAAAGAGAAGGAAGAATGCCTTCTCCACTCGCCGAAACCAGGCACCAGCTCCCAGCGCAGGGACGGGCCAAAGCGGTCAAGCGAGGGAATGAAGGCCAAGGCGCTGTACAAGGCAGCCTTCCGCATCCAGGATCGGCTCCAGAAAAAAACCGCCCTATCCCCAGAGGAGAAGGCAAAGCTTACCTGGGCTGAGGAGAAAATCGCTGAGGGGGGGCTTTACTTCGCCAAACTCCCCCACATGAGATCGACTGGAGGATTCGCCAACAAGGTGGAGGAGACGCTTGCCAACTAAAAGCAACGCTCAGCCGAAAGCGCCTGTATGGAGCCCGGGGAGCAAGCGGCAATGCCGGCCTAAGGAGGCAGGCCCTTCCCAAATGACAAATCGTGGCCCTCATTGACAGAAGCGATGAAGCCGGCAAAATGCCCGAGGCGCAGTGGAAGAAGGTGCATGCGCGGCTCGTTGAGTCATTGTAAGCACGGATGGAGGAAGATTCCAAAGCTCCCATGCCCACCTTCGGTGGCGCTGGGTGGCTAAATGGGGTCAAAATCCTGAAGTGCATGAAGATGACTCGAGGAGAAAGTGGCTGACGCAAGCGGTCTGTCAGTTGGAGGCGATATGGGAGGGAGCCAAGCTGAAGGTGGTGGACCGGGAGCTAATCCCATCCACTTCAAAGGCGAAGGTACTCTTCCCCATCCCAACCCAAGCGGACCGGGCGCTGAAGCTGCTGCAGCGCCAGAATCCGGATATACCAACCGCGGACTGGTACTGTACGTTGCGGCCCCATCACCTAAGGGCCGCAGGGAATCCGACGGAAAGGGAAGTTCGGTCAGGCTCTGATAGGATAAGTTTTGAAAAAAGCAGTCTGCTGCTTCTACGGTAAGTTTCAGCTCTAGCGATACACGGTACGCATAGGGTACAAGGATATTATAGCTTAAACCCAACCAAAAATGTATGTACCATTCGGGAGAATGCATTCATATTCTAGATTGAGTAAAAAACCGCTGTTAAAGCATCTAGTCTTGGTACTTCCTTAGGAGAATAAATCTATTAATTTGTTTGAAGTACCTTTGGGTAAAGTTAAAGTTAAAGTTAGTCAAAGCGACTGCCTTCAGTCAGAAGTAACAATATTTATGATGTGGTTCAGGAGTCTTGACTCAGGACTCAGTAAGCCTGTAATTCTGTTGTTTTCTAGAAGCGGAATTTTGTATTTCATATTATTTTATTTGAAACAATTTGTCGTCTCTTTGGTATGATTATCCTAGAAAAATATAACTAGGCAAAAGCAAGCTAAGGTAAGTCCACGAGTGGGTATAATCACATGATTCTTCAAATGCAATAGCCATTTACATTTGCATGTCAGAATTTTGCATAAAATGGATTGAAAATAAGTTGATGTGATGATGGCCCACAGGGGCTACGTAGTAGTTCGTTCAACTTGAATTGTTGAATGCTTGACTTTGTATTTGGAACCAGAGACTAGCCTTGTGGCTGCTTCCACCACTGCCTCGCCATCACTATGTGTGTCTGAAACAAAAACAATTCAATTTGAGAAAATTGCTGATCGGCAAACACTGCACTCTTACCTATGACGAGGTGCACCATTAGCACTCTGTGCTGGCTGGTGTGCTGCCACACGTTTAGATGGTGCACCGATCTGCCAATAAAAAAATAACTCATGATCTCAGGCTTTTAAGATGCCATCGGTTGGTCCACTCACCTGACGCCCTCAAGACTAGACAGGTCGCGTTGCAAGCTCTGTAAGCAGAGGTTCGGCGGCACGGCATCCAGGAGGATAGACACAGACTCTCTGAACAACTGGACAGTCGTTAAAATTACAATGACAGAAAAAAGTAGTGTACACATCGGATCAGCATACTTTGCACTCGGCTAAAATGATTTAAAGTTTTTATTTTTTAGCATTTTATTTTTTAAATTTGAATTGAAAATTACGTGCAAGACCTGAAAATTCGGCTAAATACTTCATAATTTTCCTATAATTAGATAGCGAACATAGTTAAATATGTACATATATAGGTAAATATATATAAATATGTACATATGTACATATATATACTGGGCTACTGAAAATTTTGTCTGACCTGTTCTTTACCTGTTTAATAACAATATGTGCTTCCTCTTCGAAATACTTCATTCTCTAACTTTTAATTGCTTTGGAATTTCCCTTCAGTCTCTGTTATTGACACACAGACTCTCTTGGAAAAGTGGAGGCCCTTCTAATTATAAACGTATAGGTGCTCTTACAGAATTTTCAAAATCGAAAAAACTTTAAGTTTAACAAGAAAGGAAGCTAACTTCGGCACGCCGAAGATTGTATACCCTTGCAGTTTGCAATTGGATCATTAAGAATCGAGCTATTCTGTATATTTATACATAGCGTAAATAAAATGTTGAAAACACACACAAAGCAGAGTTTCATAACATTTTACCTATACTTATTGTGTTTACAGTTTGACAGTTACAGTTTTACATTCCTAGCTTTACATTTTTTCTACATTTACCGATCGCTTCTATGGCAGCTATATGATATAGTTGTCCGATTTTCATAAAATTAAATCTGAAAATCTGAAATAATATATTTTGGCCATATCTTAAAAATGGTGCAAAAATGTTGAAAAACAGCCCAGTTATATTTTGTTTCTAAATATTTATCGAAAAATTGTACACTCATAAAAATATTTGCCTAAAATCGCCCTTAAAAAGCCGATTTCGCCCTTGTATTTAGAAATTCGCCATAGAAACGGTTCCAAAGGCGAGTCGATCTAGATTTGAGAAAATTTGCCCTAAATTTGAGGAAAGAATCTTTCCTAAATCTAGGGCGATTTTTCTTAAAAGAAGAAACATTTTCTTGTTTATAAGATTTGTCCTAAATATGGGAAAAATTTTCCTCAAATTGAAGGTGAATTTTTTCTTACATTTAGAAATATTTTCTTGAATGTAGAAAAATTGAAGGTAAGTTGCAATTGTTTGTTGTTGCTGGCTGTATTTGTAAATAAGCAATAATATTATTTTTGTTGTAAAAATGTTGTTAATAAATATTAATAATAATATTTTTTGTTGTTGTATTACAACAAAAACAATATTATTATTGTTTATTAACAAAGGCGGCCAAATGCTAACACTTTTGGTGTTGCAAAAGAGAATTGTTCTTATTAAGTGTTGGCCGGCCACCGTCACCTCATGCCAGAGACGTTTGAACCAGTTGGGAATTGTAGGCGCACGCGAGCGGAATTTGCCAAAAGAATTCGCCATAGTTTTACGAAAAGTTGACCAGCAAAACAAAGAAAATTCTCCCGTAATTAAAGAAAGAAATTGAGCGAAGCAAATCCGAAAACTTTGCCCTATATTTGAGGAAAATATGTAAATTAACCCTAAAAAAGTGTATTTATGGCGGCTATTCTTTATTTTACTGTGCCTTGCCTTAAATTCATGAAAACCTTTTCCTTATTCCAGAAAAATTTTCTTAGTTTAAGGGCGATTTTTTTTTATGGCGATTTTTCTTAAATCTAGAAAAATATTTTTATGAGTGTATGACAGCTATATGATATAGCCGTCCGATCCGACTCGTTCCGACATATATAGCAGAGAGAGTATGTAGAAGACTATATACAAAGTTTCATTCAGATAGCTTTAAAATTGAGGGACTAGTTTGCGTAGAAACGGACAGACGGACATGGCTAGATCGACTCGGCTGTTGATGCTGATCAAGAAAGGTCTCCTTCACTGCGTTGCAAACATTATAATATCCTGCAAGGGTATAAAAAGGATCGCCGAGCTAAAGAGCCGAAACTTAACAAAAAATGTATAAAATTACACAGATTCTTCTTTCATTCATTGTTCTAAAAAATGGAAACTCACACAAAACTTAATTAAAACGGCGGCCAGAAAAACGCCAATGCTCTGCACAAGGTCACCAATTACATGAATTATTGCCGCTCGCAGGTTCAGGTTCTTCTCATCGTGAGCACTGGAAAATATAAAAAAAATTATATATTTATATAACAAAAACCAGGAAGAAAGCCAGAAAAAAGTTTGATCGACGTGGAATACCCAGTACCCAAATCTTTAGCGTTAAGTTGAAAGATAATCTTTTGATTCTAAGTATCGTGTATGAGAAGTCTGATATCGGGTTGGTTTAAAAGGGCAACCAGTTCAAACGTTTTTGGCCTGAGTTTTCTTCTTTGTTTCGAAGCTTTACGAATAAAATAATATACCTTTCATAGTTCACTTAGTCTTTTTATGTGAGCTATTAATAGTTCGATTTTTTCTAACGTCTTATTACTATAAAGTTCGAGGTATTCTGGCAAAAATCTCTATTGCGTACCTACCCATCACTCTGAGATAATCTTGTTCCATTTGGAATAACAATACAATTTTCACTGGGAATTTTATCAGCCATTTCTGCATTCATCAGCGATGACTCACTGGATTCAGTTATATGTGAGCTAGGGTTAGAATAGGAGTGCCCGTGACTGTGACAGTGACTGTGACCATGACTGTGACTGTGACCGTGTCCTTTTCCGCCCATAAACCAGGAGCCATGTAATACGAATATCATTCTGTGGAAAAGCAAACACTATGAACAACATTAGAAAATAACAAGAAAGGAAGCTAACTTCGGCACGCCGAAGTTTGTATACCCTTGCAGATATTATTTCATTACATTTCAACTATACTTATTATGTTTACAGTTTGACAGTTACAGTTTTACATTCACACCTTTACATTTTCTCTACATCTACCGATCGCTCCTATGGCCGCTATATGATATAGTTGTCCGATTTTCATGAAATTTATACCAAAATTCTACAATAATAAAATAAGCTTATATCTCAGAGTAGATGAAAATACGTTGAAAAACAACGAAGTTATAATTTGTTTCCTATTAATTTCCCGATCGTTTCTATGGCAGCTATAAGATATAGTCGTCCGATTTTCATAAAATTTTTACCAAAATTCAGAAATAATATAGAATGGCCATATCTAAAAAATGGTGCAAAAATGTTAAAAAACAGCAAAGTTATAATTTTTTTTCGAAAAATTTATCGAACATTTGTATAGCAGCTATATGATATAGTCGTCCGATCCGGCCCGTTCCGACATATATAGCAGTGAGAGTATATAGAAGACTATCTGCAAAGTTTCATTCAGATAGCTTTAAAACTGAGGGACTAGTTTGCGTAGAAACAGACAGACGGACAGACGGACAGACGGACAGACGGACAGATGGACAGACGGACAGACGGACATGGCTATATCGACTCGGCTGTTGATGCTGATCAAGAATATATATACTTTATAGGGTCGGAAACGTCTCCTTCACTGCGTTGCAAACTTCTGACTGAAATTATAATACCCTGCAAGGGTATAAAAACTAGAATAGATTAAGTGAAATGATTACCACGATCAACTGTACTCGGAACAGAAATGATCGGAAAAGTAATAGAACAAATAACAATTAACTTCGTTGTTTTTCAATATATTTTCATATACCTTGAGATTTGACATTGTTTATATATGATTTTTTATTTCGTTTTTCTTTTCTTTAAAATCTGGTTCATACGTATGTATGTATATAGCCCATATAAACTTACACAATATTTATTGCAATGCCAATGCCCGATATGGCCATCATCACATCGGCGTTCAGTTCAAAGTCTTGAGAGTAAATTCGCTGAATGGCCACCACCACCAGAAAGGTGGTCAAGACCCAGATCCCCAATATCGAGGCCAAGGCACCAAAAACCTCTGAAAGTCGCAAGCAAATAAAAAATCAGGAAATCGGCATTATTAGCTGCCAAAATCAGAAGACGTGAGTGATTGGCATACACTGAGGCTAGGCAGAAGGAACGTATGACATAAGTGCAATGTGTTGGGACGGAATGCGATGAATTAATGCGAGCACAGCTGTGTTTCTATTAGCATGGTGTCAGAGTTAATTGGATACTTACCGAAGCGCTTGTATCCAAAGGTCATACGTTCGTCCGGCGCCCGGCCGCCCACCCAAATGGCGACTAGGCCGATGACAAAACTAATACAATCAGATGCTAAATGGGCGGCATCCGCTATAATGGCCAAGCTTCCGGCCACGTAGCCCCCGAGGAATTCAATGACCTGCGGTTGACATCAAGACCGTTTGTTGCGTCGGAGGCATGAAATTGATCATAATTAAATCAGGAGTGCGTGCATGCAAATCCTTGGGTATACCATGGAGTGTTGCGGATGGGTAATACGTGAAGGGCTTGCTTACCATGAATATGCAACAGAGAGAAATAGCGAGGAGAATTTTAAATTTGGCCTCCTGCGCCGATTGGCTTTTTAAGTTTGCCCCAAATCCCGGATGACCGCTGCGGCACTCCAGCTTTATTTCAAATTCCATTCTCTCCGGCTCCGACTGCTGTACGGGACCACAGAAATTGCTTATAAATAGGGGCTTGCATTTGACAGCACCACTGAATATAAATGGTCCAGAAATTAAGCGCTTCTCACCCGGTAGTTCGCATTGTCATGGCAATCGTCCAGTAGTGGTACCTCCCACGTCTGCTCCTCCACAGTTCGCAGTATTTCCTGCCCTGTTAAGGCCATGCTCCCGCTGCTGCTGCTATTGTTGTAGGTGGCCTTGCCATTGCTGCTGGAGCGGTATTTTTTTAAATCTTCAGACCGAGTAGCTGGATTGGCCGAGTCCGGCCTATTATCATCAAAGTACGGATTTAGCGAAAAGCCCTCGTCGCATTCGTCCTCGTGGCCGATTGGCGGCAGAGCGTGGCTGAGCTTCTGATATTTTGACATGGTCCTTTCTTTTTCTAGCTGTAACTTTTGAGCAGCATATGCTAATTACCACCTCGCTCGGTTATTGTAATTTAGTGTGTACATTGTGTCATCATCCTGGCATCTGTTACATGAAATCAATTGTTAGGCAGGACATTACTATCTGAAATTAAATTGGAAATAATACAATTAGTAATTATATAGTGATATGTATACGTGGCTATCGAGGCTAACGCAAAGACACCTCGAATTAGGGCGTTAGTGTTTAAAAATGTTCAGTTCATTTTATTTTGCTTTAAAAACCTCACCTATTTTTGACATTTTATTTTAAAGTTTGACAAATAAAGCTTGTAAATATGTACTCGAGACTCTATTTAATATGGAATCCTTAATTGAAAATATGAAAATAAACGTAAATAACGTAAGTAAACTTCGGACAAGCTGTAAAATCGCCATAGGTGTAGTAAAAATTTTATAAAAACTTTGTGATACTCATACAGTGAACACCAACAGGCCTGTTCCAGTTCCCCCTCGGAAGTAAATTTATAACATTTGCGAATTTCCCTTTAATATAAGCAAATTTCATTTCCTTTTTCCGTTTGGGAACAAGAACAGGGCCGGCGGATTTGCAATAATGTTCAAGGCTATAACTAATTTAATTATTTATAAACTTAGTTATGCAATAATGTTCCTAAGACATCAAAGCTTTATATACAATTAACATTTGTAATATAGTATATAGATATAGTTGCATTGTATTTTAAAATAATTAATTTCTGATTTTGCGGATTTGAATACGCCGGCCCAATGGCACACGGAAAGTTTCAGTGCGTTTCTCCTGCAAATTAACAGAGACTTAACAGAGGGAAATACGAATCCGTAAGAATTTTTCGGAAGTGAATACTAGAACAGGTCAGGGAAATCCTAATCCGAATAAATTTTGCGGAAGTGGAAACTAGAACAGGCCTGATAATTTTTGTTGCTTAGCTTGATTTATGCAGAAGCAACCCGAAAATGAATGCGAAAGATTACGGTACATGGGAAAATGCTAAAAGTAAAATATTAGAAGCATGTTAGTTGTCAAAAGTATTTACACACGCTTTATTCGCGTTAAAGGTATTTACACAAAGCTAAAAATTAATTATTCTTGAACATTTTTTGGATGATCGCTTCTTTCTGAAGTTTAAAGAAGATTCCAGATGCATAATAAAAAAAAAACATTTTTAAAATGCTGAATATTATAAAATTATTGGGAAAAATTTTAACTAAATTCGCAAAAAAGTTAATATATGTATATTATTTTAAATTTTTAAATCACTTACTTGCTTACTTTTTTTTTATCAGCAATTTTGTGACGTTTTTTTTCATGAAAATTGAACTTTTTATTTAATCACTCACCATTTTGCTAAAAATCAAAATATCGAAAAAATCCTACGTGTGTCGATAGCGGTTGAGATACAGAAACTAACAAAATTGATTTTTTGTTCTAGCTCAAAAATTAAGAACTTTAGGTTTCCGGCCATGGACCCCTTTCAAAAAAATAGAGCCTACGAAGAAATGCTGCACAGCCGCCATTTTGTTTTCGATTTATTCCAAAAAAATGTATTTTGTACTTCACATACATATAACATTATAAAACCAACTTTAAAATTTCTCGATTTGCTTTTTTCATTTGGCCAAAAAAAATTCTTGAAAATCGGCTTTTTTTTGGCCAGTTACTCAGATGTCCCCCCTTAAGCAAATTACTATTAAATAACAAATAAGAATAATTGCAAAAATATGCAAAGGTGAAGTCAAACCCGTCATTAATCTACGTTAAGTCATACGAAATGTAGACAACTATATGAAAAATTCAGAAAAAATCCTTCATTTGGTCATGTTAAAATCGCTAAAACTAAGAAACTTATTGGAATAAAGAAAAGTGATTGAACACCACAGCGATGGCAAAATTAAGTTAATATCCGATTGTACATATATTACTCCGGTAAGCTAAGCAAAACGACATTGATTTTATTAGAGCATACTAAATAGCTTATCAATTATTAAAGAATGTTTTATGGACTTATTAGCCTTCAGATTAATAAGAATGTTCGTTTAGAACATATTTATTAAATACCCCACAATAACATAAAAAGAAAAACGTTCGTCTAAATTTGTTTATATATTATAAGAGATTATGGTTATTTGTTTGGAATTATACTATTTCCAAATATCACTGGGGTCTTGCAACTTTATGGCGCCACAGTACCACAACGGATGAACTTAAAAATGTAAAATAAAAATCTGTTAATGCAGGGTTACCATGGCTATTATCAAGCTCTATCAGTAACATTATAAAAAAAGAGTAAAAACATTAAGGTCCTGTACTCGAAATTACAGACATTTTGACTATAGATTCATGAACTCAATTTTTAGCCAGGCATGAAAGCCCTAATCGATGCCTTTATTAATAGAGTAACTTACGAGATTTTAGCTTAAAATAATATATCAATTGACCAGAATTCAATTTAAAAAGAAAACAATTTATGTGTAAATACTATTTAATCTATTGGTAAATATATTCCTAACGCTACAAGTTAAAAACATATAAATTAGTGCGATAAATTACATTTTAAAAGGACAGGATTTAGTTGTCTTAAATACTATGCAATTATTGCCTACTTCTATGGGGTCGGAATTTTCTTCATTTACTTGTTACGCATAATTTTGTTTACACTCTTTTTTAATACTTGTTGCTCTTCCCCCGGACTTTATCTGCCAGCGAAACTGGTGGTGGAAACAGGCTCTAATACAATTATAAGCGATTATTGGTATGTTTACGATATGTGTAGGGCGATAATTCTATTGTATTTTTATCTTCCATTTTTTTTTGTACGTTCGGTCGCTCAGTCTCATTTATTATTCCGCGGCCTTCAAGCACACAAACTGCGATAAGCTTTACTTTTGAAGTTTCCAACACGGCACTAAAATCACTTATCTACTTTGATTAACTTGTCGCGACACATAGATCCTCTATATGACAGACATGTACATATATGTAGGGTACACAGAGAAAAATTGACCACCCCCATTGATTATAGAAAATGGGCAACACTTAGGCGCATTAAAAGAGCTTTAAAAGCTAACAATGTTTTAAACATTTAAAAAATCGTATATACTGTTTTTTTTTTAATAACATATTGCAGTAGTAGGATGAATAGATCATTCAATAGAAATTTTCAGATGACAAAAACATTGTAGTTATTAGGCAATAAAGTGCTTTAGCATTGATGGTGTAAAAAAATATTTAAAAAAACTCTTACAAATTAACGTTAATTCCGTTTATAATCGTAGTGCACCAGAATTTTTTCTTTGGCGACTTTTATCTATAAAAATTTGTTACATATTATTAACGTTTAACCACATTTCACATTCTGGTTATTCCGAACTATGTTTTTTAGAGTTCCTACAACCACGATTTTTTATCGACACGTTGGTAAATCCGAAAAGGTTACAATAATTTCACTTGAAAATGTAACCAAAATAAAAAGGTATTTTTACAATGATGCAACTCTTCAAACATTCAAACAATATCGCTTTTAGAGTACGGTCTTTTATTATGAAATTTATCACATGTTAATTATTATACATTTTTTGTGTCGCCTTCTCCTGCATATTTCCATTGCCCATTAAAAAGATTCTTAGTCCTATCGTTTTTGTCATATTCTTTTCTAATTGGTACTATAAATTCGGTATACAGGGTATTATAAGGTATGTACAGTGGCTAATATCTTATTTTATGCAGCTCATACATATATATCAGGCAAGCCCCGTTTTCCAATCAAGGCAAAAATCTGATTTATAGTCCTTATACCCTTATGTACCCCAGTGAGGGTACATATATAAAACCTTACACATATGTGTGTATGTACATACATATGTGCATGGAATTTGGACTGATTTATTTCCCACGGTGTTGATAAAAAGTACGTGATACATTGTTATTTCGAGAATCTGATTTGTAGGAAATTTATTGTTGGTAGTCGTTTCTTCGATTTGTTCTTATTTGCTGTGTTTGCGTTCATTGGTTTTCCAATAATAACACATTATTTATAGCAGTCAACACATCTAAGCCAAAATGTATTTTAAGTTTTTCCGAATGTCTTTACTTGGGATTCGGGCGACACGAGGGGCATGCTCATTGATAGCGGAGTGTCAGCGAACTGAACTTTTTTCACAAAGTATCACTCACCCAGTTGGAGTTCAGCTTGCAATAAGCTACACAAAGGGCGGCGGGAAACGTGCATTGACCTTATCAACAGGTTTGACTTTGACACTGCGTAGCCGTTCTCTTACTCTCTTTCTCTCTCAGCACTGTGATGCTGATGGTTGAAAAGCAAGTGTAAAGAGAGAGAGAGAGAGAGTGAATCGGAGCCCTCTTCCCACCCAATCCTCCCATCTTAATTATAATTGAGGTAGTAGCTCACTTACCCCCCCTTCCGCACTGTGGGTATTATTGTTCTGTTTCGCGCTAGGTTTTGCTGCTGACTCTCGGCGGTCTGTGATCGTTGTTTATATTTACATAAACAGTTACATATGTATTTATATGTGTGAAAGCACTGCACTGAGTGTTGGCGTTTCCAGCTGTTTCCTATGAGTGGCTTTGGGCCTGTTTTCTTTCGAATTGGGGTTTCTATACCACACTGATAACGTTTTTTAATTTCTTTGCTTAGTTCGCATAACCGCCAACCCACTGTTCATATAACTTACGATCGCGAGCACCGACTTTCCTCGCGCTCTCAGCGACGCGTGAAGTTCAACTACAGCGAAGGCGACCGGGACGACTAAAGTAGACCCACAAAGAGAGCGAGGGGTGGGTGCTACTGAGAGCACACGGTGAGTTATTGAGCGCTGGTGCCGGCATTTCATTTTACGGCTCTCTCGCTGAAGTGCTAATCAGCTGAGAGGCCACTCGGAGCGCCGCCTGAAGTGAGTGATCAGCTGAAATATCTCAATGCCTCGCTGTCGTTTGTAAACAAAGGCCGTTTGTGTGATCCAGTCAAAGTGATAGTTCTGATTTGAAAAAAACGGTGGGTAAACAAATACTCATTCAGATTCTTGCTGGTGGTGCAAAACACATCTTTTTTCCGAATCCCAAGCTGATATATGTATGTAAACATCTTTACATTTTTACCAATTAAGAAATTTGGTTATACATAAACAAATTATATAAGTGGTATTCCTTTGAGTTTCTTTTCTGAATGTGGATCACAGTTATTTTGTACAGAGGTAAATCAAACAATAAATTGTGTAGCGTATAAACTATAATAGATATAACCATATTAATGTAATTACAAAATTGGTTTTTAAAGCAGAGATCTTTTACAAAATTTGACTTGAATTCATGACCTTCTGCATGATAAAGTTTGTATACCTCTTGCAGTTTCAATTTAAATTATACACACCTGATCATAATAATAGGTACATACATCAACTCAGACTTTAAGGTTACAGAAAATAGTTTTATTCATTATTTTAAACTTAAAATTTGGTCTCATTGGTTCTTAAACTATTTGTTTTTAATCAAATAAACTTCATTGTAACATAGGATAATAATATAACAAAAAGGAGATCATTTTGTGTCTTAGATACGTTTTCAGTCTGATCAAAATAATAGGTACACTTCAAGTGTTGATGAGAAAAATAAATTTAAATATATATTTTGCGTTTTTTTTTCTAAATTTGTATTTACTAACTTAGTATCCAGTGTATCTCCTCTATTTTTGGTCACTACTGCTATTCTTTTTGGCATACTTTTAATAAGAGCCTGGCAGGTTTCTAATGGTGTTTCATACCACAATTTTTGGACACCATCCCATAATTGTGCTTTATTTGAAAATGAATACTTTGCCAATTTCTTTTTTAAGTCTCCCCACAAGTTTTCTATGGGGTTTAGGTCGGGGGATTGGCTTGGCCACTTCAGAACGTCAACTTTTTGGTCCTCAAAGAATTTAGATAAAAGCCTTGATGTATGCTTAGGATCATTGTCTTGCTGAAATACCCAACGTAATGGCATATTTTCTTCAGCATATGGTACCATAACTGTTTCCAATATGGATTTGTATTCTTCAGCAGTCATTCTGTTCGTAGTCTGATAAATTGGACCTACGCCATACCAGGAGAAGCAACCCCATACCATTATATTACCACCTCCATGTTTGACTGTTTTCTTTGTAAACCGTGGATGGAACCTTTCTGGCAATTCTTCCTGGTAGGTTGGCATCTTGAAGTCGTCTTCGGATAGTTGGAGCACTAACTGAATTCCCAATATCTGCTGCAATAGCCGTCGATGACTTAAATGGGTCCTTTTTGCTTAAAGATACTATGTAGTGGTCAAGCGTTACCGTTGTTTTTTTTTGGCCTTCCACGGGATTCCTGTCTTGGTTTCCTTTCTAATGCATTTTTAACAAAATTATGGGACCTTTTCATTAATTTGGCAATAGCTCGTAAAGATTTGCCATCTTTTCTCAGACTAAGAACCAATCGAGCTTCTTCTTTAGTACAATAAGAATTTCGACCCATTTTTTCTAAAAAAATAAATATTTAATTCTCTTAATTGATAGTAGCTATACGAAATTTACCTTAAGTTGCCAAAAAATCACTGATTACAAAATTATTCACTTGTTATTTATGAGAAACGGAGACTGTACCTATTAATATGATCAGGTGTGTACATACATACATACGTACATATGGTACCTATATGCCGATCAAAAACAAAGTAATGTAAAATGTCCTATTAAATATTGTATTTATAGTTTTACAGTTAACAATTTACATTCATTCTCGACTCGGCTGTTGATGCTGATCAAGAATATATTCATATACTATATAGGGTCGGAAATGTTTCCTTCACTGCGTTGCAAACTTCTGACTGAAATTATAATACCCTGCAAGGGTATAAAAATGTGCGAACAAAATCTATGATACCTGATAATTATTTAAAAAAAATATAGCAATAAAAATATTTTTTTTTCGCAAAAAAAACGAGATATACATATAAAATAAGCAGTTAGTCAATTCTTTGCCTATCTCTCTCATTTTCTTTTAGTTTATTGTTCGTCCAAAAATCTTGAGACAAATATGTAAGCAAAACACAAACTTAATAAATAAGAACGAAAAGCAAAGCCAGAACTTACACTCATAAAATTATTTTTTTGGATTTTAGGAAAATCGACTTAAAAAAATCGCCCTTAAATAAAAAAAAAATCAATTTGGCCGCCTTTGTTAATAAACAATAATAATATGGTTTTGGTTATAATACAAGAACAAAAAATATTATTATTAATATTTATTAACAATTATTTTTTACAACAAAAATAATATTATTATTGCTTATTTATATTTACAAATGCAGCAGCAACGACATACAATTGCAACTTACCTTAAAATTTTCTACATTCAAGAAAAATCTTTCTAAATGTAAGAAAAAATTCACCTTCAATTTGAGGAAAATTTGTCCCATATTTAGGACAAATCTCCTTATAAACAAGAAAATGTTGTATAAATGTAATCCAAACAATTCCTCCTCCCCCACAAAACAGGATTGCTACGGCACTGTAAATTTAAGGAGGACATGTCATCTGTCCGGCATTTCCAAGCCAAAGGTCCGAAGAGCTCGACTGGCAATGTCTGCCACGCCCATAAATAGCTGACCAGACCTCCATTTCGCTCCTTTTTTCAGATCTTCGCTTTCCCATTTGCTTCGTCCGTGATTTTTTTCAGCGTCGCGGCACTTCCGCTTTTATGGACATTTAGATGCAAAGTTTCTGGCATAAAAATGGCGTGGCAGATAATTTTCATAATTTTCAACTACATTTCATTGTGCGCACAGTTTAGGGCGTGGTCGCCAGCAGTCCTGCTTTTCGTCGCCAGTCCACCCCGCCTCGTCCTCGTTCATCCCACTCGTTATTCTCCATTTTATTTTCGTGTGATACTGGCAAGGAAGCTTCACTGCAAAGAGTTGGAGCCAAAGTCAGAAGTTGGTTTTTATTAGCGCAGGACTGGTTGCCTGGCAATTCAGTTGGTCGTTTTGCTGTCCTTTCAACGCTGTAAGGCCGTGGGAGTGCATTATATTTTATTGGCCTGGTCTGGCGAAATTTATGAACTCCTTTAAGCCATTCGGCCAAGTGCATCAGAATCCATGCCCGAAAGTATGCAACGACCACGTTCATGACTTAAATCTATACACGACCACTCAATGGTAAATCACACACTCACTTTGTAAAAATATTGAATATTTTTCATTTGACTTAATTTAAGAACATTTTCAGAAAATTTTTGGAAAATTAATTTTTATTAAAAATGATATTTAAAACATCAAAACTTAGACACCAACTCTTTATTTTAAACCTTAATATTAGAATTTCGTTTTATTTTATTTTACTTTTTTCCTTATACCGAGAATATATTGGGTCTTTGTGAAATCTTTTTTACTTTAACATTTAATAAGAAAGGAAGCTAACTTCGGCGCGTCGAAGTTTGTATACCCTTGCAGATATTATTTCATTACATTTTACCTTTACTGTTTACAGTTTGACAGTTACAGTTTTACATTCCCAGCTTAACATATTCTCTTTATCTACCAATCGCTTCTATGGCAGCTATAAGATACAGTCGTCCGATTTTCATAAAATAAAAACAGAAATTCTAAAATAAAAAAAAAAAGCCATATCTCAAAAATTATTAAAATATGTTGAAAAACAGCCAAGTTATAATTTTTTTCTATAAATTTATCGAACATTTGTATGGCAGCTATATGATATAGTCGTCCGATCCGGCCCGTTCCGACATATATAGAAAGTGACTGTATGCAAAGTTTCATTCAGATAGCTTTAAAACTGAGGGACTAGTTTGCGTAGAAACGGACAGACGGACGGATGGACAGACGGACAGACGGACATAGCTAGATCGACTCGTCTGTTGATGCTGATCAAGAATATATATACTTTATAGGGTCGGAAAGGTCTCCTTCACTGCGTTGCAAACTTCTAACTGATATTATAATACTCTGCATGGATATAAAAACATAATTTTAGAGGTTTCCGCATACATTTATGCGTGAATACTTTGACGAGGAATTCAGAAATTCATGGTAATACGCTGCGAATTGCGGCCGTTTTTATTGTTTATCTTTTTGGTCCGGTGCGACCGTAGTCGTGTTACCAAAATAATAAAAAAAAAAATAACACGTATAATTATATATAGTCTCTTTCAAGGGCCTAATAAAGTAGCTGATTGATTAAAACTGCATTAGAGTATCATAGGACCATATGGTGAAGACTCACTGCGAAGACGTGGAAAAACATCGCTGTTCACGGCGTTCGATGTTTTTTTTTTGCGGAAAACATAGATGTTTTAAATAAAATAAAAAATGTAATTGTTTAAAAAAGACAAATATTAATTTGATGCCTATGGTTGATTCTCAAAAAATAGAAAAAAGTAAATGGTTTTAAATAAATTTAAATTATATAATATTTACATTTATGTTTTCAAAATAAATAATAAAATGTAATATGCCACATTATCTAAATTTTTGGTGATATTATTAAAAAAAAAAAACTAATTATAAATATTTATTTTTTTGTTACAACAAACACCGGTGCGAAATTAAAAAAAGTCATAATCATAACTTTTAAGCCAAATAAGATAATCAAATACTTTAATTATTGTAAAAGTTATATGTGTATTGCTTAATGTGCTACGTTCACACATTCGCCTTTTTATAGGGTATTAAATTTTAAAAATATAAGTTTTCACTCTGAAAAATACTATTATTAATAATAATAAATTTTTTATTTTTATTAATTTGGTTAAATAAGAATATTTTCAAAAATAAAAATATATATTTTTTTAATTTAGAATTTATTTTATTTTGGTAGCTTTTGACTACTTATTATTAAAAAGCATTCTATTTATACGGAATTTTTAATAGGCATTTCTGGACTATATTTGCTAAATTCTATACATATCTATATACATATCTCTTTGCGAATTTTCATGTCGCAAAAATGCAATAAATGGATCAGATGGTGCAGCTAACATGTTGAATAGGTCCTCATTTGCAGTTGCGAACAATGAGTTGTTCGTTTTTGGCTTTGCATTTCCAGAGTCGCAGCTCAACGCTGCTGATAAAAATTGATTCTGGTTCAGAAAATATCCATGCAGTGCGTATTTTAGACAGAAAAAATTAAAATAATGGAAACCTGGCAGGTAGCGATTTGCCCTAAGCCAAACGTCCGTTTTTTTGTTTGGTTAAATTCGAAGCTTGCTGTATGCAAGTGAGGATTGAAGGGTGGGCGGTAAACAGGGCCGAATGCTATCTTGGGGCATTTTTCTCTTAATTAAAAACTTATCGAATTTTGCCAGTTCAAGAGCTCCTATGCATCCAAGTTACGTGGCTATCTGAGATAAAAGAACAAAAAAGTAATTAAGGTTTGCAGTCACTGGAGCATGCAGTTCCTTAATTGCATGAAGTAGTCTTGCGAATGCAAAAACCAATCAAATTCGCTCAAGCAGCCACTTGAGCTCTAGACTCTCTCTGTGTATTGCTTTGTTGTCCTCACTATAGCCACTTGATGGTTTGCTGCCACGAATCGACCACTCAAAATCCGCGTGTCTGCATTGCGATGCAAATGCCGCACTTTTAAAATAGGCATTAATACAATTATTGATCATCGATAGTACATTTTCGATTACTGCTTATTGCGTTTCGCCAGTCCCAGCGTAAGAATTTTGGTTAAGCGGTCATATTTATTTGCCCAGGCAAAATTCGGCCTGATAAGCACTACATGTTTTTCCGATGACCATCGTAAAACTTAGCCAAATATACTGCCCTTCACTAAAGTGTTTTTGCGCGCATCTCTGCTTGTAAATAACCCAAGTGGTAGGCTTCTGTTATCAACTTGTTTTCATCGATTTGATTAAGGGGCCATAGCGTGTGCCGGATGCCAAGGAACCAAGGAATTCCCTCGCGATGTGGGGGCTGAGTGATTTAAACGAATTAACCAAAGTCGCGTGGGAAGGCTTAGCCACTTATAAAAAGAAATCAATTCTAATCCGACTAATACTTATTTATGGTCAATTAAACGTTTAATCCGGCTACGACGTGCACATGTCCGGAATCACAGCAAACTGATTGTGCATCTTCGAACCCAGGTCTTATCTTATCTCGGTCGCGATAGCTGCCAACAGACCCCCCTATCAAGCTGAGTTGTGTCACCCCAATCGATCTGATAACTCAATATGCATCACAAATCACTCAATTAACCAAAGCCTCTCGCGATGACGCCGATCGCTATTTGCAGGTGCTTCAGACCCCCTATATAAGGCTCACAAGCGTTCCGCTTTCAATCAATGGGGGACTTGCTTTCAACGAACATAAGCATGTTTCTCGCTAGGATTATTGTGTGCCTCGGCTTCCTGGCCTTGGCTACTGCCCAGTTCGACACCAACTATGCGTCAGGCCGCAGCGGCATGGTCCATCTCTTCGAATGGAAGTGGGACGACATTGCCGCCGAGTGCGAGAACTTCCTAGGCCCCAATGGCTTTGCCGGTGTCCAGGTAAGACGATAGTTTCGCTGATTGTAATCTGCTAAGATATCCTTAATTTTCGTTCGGTCCTAGGTGTCCCCTGTCAATGAGAACGCCGTGAAGGATAGTCGTCCGTGGTGGGAGCGCTACCAGCCCATATCATACAAGTTGGTCACCCGTTCCGGAAACGAGGAGCAGTTTGCCAGCATGGTTCGTCGTTGTAATAATGCCGGAGTTCGTATCTATGTCGATGTTGTCTTCAACCACATGGCTGCCGATGGCGGAACTTACGGCACTGGTGGCAGCACCGCCAACCCCAGCAGTAAGAGCTTCCCTGGAGTTCCCTACTCCTCACTGGACTTCAATCCCACCTGCGGAATCAACAACTATAATGATGCCAACGAAGTGCGAAACTGTGAGCTGGTTGGTCTCCGCGATCTGAACCAAGGAAACTCGTACGTGCAAGACAAGGTTGTCGAGTTCCTGGACCATTTGATTGACCTTGGTGTAGCCGGTTTCCGCGTGGACGCTGCCAAGCATATGTGGCCCGCAGATCTGGGCGTCATTTACGGCCGCCTCAAGAACCTGAACACCGACCACGGCTTCGCGTCTGGAGCCAAGGCTTACATCGTGCAGGAGGTCATCGACATGGGCGGCGAGGCTATCAGCAAGTCGGAGTACACAGGCATGGGTGCCATCACTGAGTTCCGCCACTCTGACTCCATCGGTAAGGTCTTCCGTGGAAAGGACCAACTGCGATACCTGACCAACTGGGGCACCGCCTGGGGCTTCGCTGCTTCCGATCGCTCTCTTGTCTTTGTCGACAATCACGATAACCAGCGCGGCCACGGTGCTGGTGGCGCCGATGTGCTCACCTACAAGGTGGCCAAACAGTACAAGATGGCCTCCGCCTTCATGCTGGCCCACCCCTTCGGCACGCCCCGCGTGATGTCCTCTTTCTCTTTCTCGGACACGGACCAGGGCCCGCCCACCACTGACGGGCACAATATCGCCTCTCCTATCTTCAACAGCGACAACTCTTGTAGCGGCGGCTGGGTGTGCGAGCACCGCTGGCGCCAGATCAACAACATGGTTGCCTTCAGAAACACTGTCGGCTCCGACGACATCCAGAACTGGTGGGACAACGGCAGCAACCAGATCTCCTTTAGCCGCGGTAGCAAGGGATTCGTCGCCTTCAACAACGACAACTATGACCTCAACAGCTCCCTGCAGACTGGGCTGCCTGCCGGCACCTACTGCGACGTCATTTCCGGCTCAAAGATTGGCTCTTCCTGCAGTGGCAAGACCGTCACTGTTGGATCTGACGGACGTGCCAGTATTTATGTTGGTAGCTCTGAGGAGGATGGTGTCCTGGCCATTCATGTCAACGCCAAGTTGTAAATAAGTGGGACAATGACCCAGCCAAACAAAATATATCGAACCCGAAACTATTAATGAGATTACTAATTCTAAATATATGAAGAGATTATTATCATATGGACAAGTATACTTTGTGGAGCATTAAGCTATGTTCAGGGCAAAACCCAAGCAAAAATTTAATTTTTCAAACGCCAGAGACATTTCATTGTTTAACATAAGCGTCTCCCTTGATATTTTTAACACAATTTGTTCTGGTGACTTCTGGCCAGAACACGCCATACTTATGTAGTATCAGGTTAAAATAAAACGGCCTGAGGGAGTATGAATTCCAAGACTGGCACAAACCACATCGACCACCGTGACATCTGCAGTTTTGAAAAACTAACAACTTTCCTCCAATTCTCCTATCAGAATACAATTTTTAAACACCCTAGACAGATAAAAAAATATTTAACTTTGACATGTGGAGCAATACTGTTCTGCTTGCGCGCTGTTAAAGTGTTTTTGTCCAATTGTACCGTGTTTTATTTATGTGTATTTTTAGAATCACACTGGACCGAACGGGCGCTGGCCACACTATTCGGGCAACTTAATTGCCAACGGCAGGCACACTGATCCTCGCCAGGCCCTATATAAGGCGGCCCGCAGCTCTTGGTAAGCACATACCCAGTCGGACTTTTCCCTAAGAAAGTAGTACTATTTTCTCATAGAAACGGGAGGAGGGAGTCTAATTCGCTTTTATACATGCGTGGCCGGGGTAATTCATGTACTTTGATCCCGCCGTCGCTGCTCGGGTGAGGAAGAAATTCTTGCCTTTTGAAAAAATTCTTCCTCCCCAGAACGTATAAAAATCTGATCTTTTACGGAATTTCCCCTCCCAAGAGAGTATAAAAAATTGGATGTACGAAGAATCCGTCGATGCTCGTACTCTCTGGGGGAGGAAGAAATTCTGGCCTTTCGAAGAAGGGAGGAAGAAATTCTTCAAAAGGCCAGAATTTCGTCCTCCCCAGAGAGTACAAAAATAAATAAAATTAATCATTAAAAAACTGTTTTAAAAATAATTTTTTTTTTCTAATTAGTATGATTTATTAAGGAACGCGTTGTTGTTAACATATTATATAAAATAAGGAACGGATTTCAAAACTTAAACTAAATTAAAACTAAAAAATAAGAAAAGCAGAAATAAAATAAGGAACGAAAACTAATCTGAGGTCTTCATTTTATTTGCCTTTGAAGTGGCCTTATATTCGCGCTGTTTAGCCTTGCCGAAGGCCTCGCGTACATTCTTCATATAGTCGCCAAAGCTGCGGCCCTCCGAACGAGAAGATTCTAAAAATTACAAAAAAACCATTTATAAATAAATATAATTAATAAATTCATATTAAGACGTACCAAACAAAGCGTCGTTCAAATGTGGAAATGCTGATAAGCCAATTTTGTCAGGACCCCCTGCGTAATTCATTTTCATGATTAGGTCTTTAGCAAAAAAACGCTCTATATTTTTTTCCAGTCCTTCGGGTCCCACCATTTTCTTAAAAGCCTCGATCTAAAAGTAAATATTTTTAAAAAATTTGAAACAGACTAATTATATTATTATACTTACGTAGTTCAATGGAGTCTCCTTGATTTGTTTGTTTATCTGGGCCATTTCCTCCTCGGTCTTGAGGGGGGAACTCCAGTTTCGGAGACACCAAGTGAATTCGGATACCCTCTAAATGCGAAAGTATTCTGGCATTCACAGCCGTCGAGGTACCTAAAATTTATTAGATATGGTAAACGGTGAAATTTTTTTCCATACTTACTCTCCATTACTTCGAATGATTCTAAAAAAAAGAGGATATATATATTAAAAATGTTGTTCTTAAATATATTTGTTTATAAAAGTTAACTCACTCTTTAATCCCGCCATTTCCTCTAGAAAAAGATTGTTTAAAAATATAAATAATATAAATAAAAGAAATAGTTCAAAGGTACATATATTTGTTTCTAAGATTTCCACCACCAACTTTGAAGTGTCATTACTCCTTGAACAGCCCTCGTATCGAGGCAAAAATAATTTTTTATTTACTTTGAACATTTCTTTGAACATAATAAAAGTTTTCAATTATTCTTTGCGTTTTCAAATAAGAATTTTTTTTAATTTTTAATTGTTTTATACAAAATAATTATAATTGGGATCATTCAGGAGTTTTACATAGTTTAAAAGCAAATCCTAAGATAATTGCGAAGAATTACATGCGGTTTTATTATCAAACGTAGCATTAAAAATAAAAATCCCCAAAGGGAATTTTCGTCCGAATTTTTCGGGAGTTTCTTCCTTACCGCTCTGTAGAATTGGGAGGTACTCAAAAAAGCCCTTTACGATTACCGGAGCAGGCCTGAATAACACCGAAGGCCGCGCCGGTGCTTCACCAGCGGCGCGCCCTTTTTTTCATAATTTGGCGGTGGCGCGGCGGCGTATATGTCTACTACGGGAGTCACAGACAACACACTTTATGGCAAAAGCAAACCGTTCAGATCAAACCGAACTACCAGGCGTGATCAGGCAACCTAATGCCACCTTCGCTAGCATGGGCATAGATGACGTTTGTGAGATCCAGAATTCTATAGGGTTTGTTTCCCAAGTGCAAAATGGCATTTTAAGGAAAAAGCTGCATTTCCTTTCTTTCGGAACTCTTGACTACAGAGTCTCGGAGTTCTGTAGACTTGTTGTGCAGAGCTAGAAAACTTTCCTGTATGCCTAATGCATCCAAGTCCTCTTCTGCGCTCTCCATGTCTAGTTCAGACGAAGGCAGTGTTTCTGTTTGTTTATTTTCAGCCATATGCTTAATAATTTCATACGTGACTTTTTTCGCGTGAACAGGCATATCGAAGTACATTTTTTTTTAAACGAGGATCAAGCATAGTAGCTTTCATCAGTACGTTATTCTGCAGCAAATCACTCAATCGCTTTTCTGATATTTCTAGAAGCGTATCTTTTGCTACGATGCCCTCAGCGGTAACCATATTAGCTTCTTTTAATTTTTTATTAATCATAGAAATCATGGGAATCACTAAGTTGACGGTCACGTAAGAATCTCCGCTTACGTTATCAGTGGCTTCTTTAAAAGGTTGGAGAACGTGGCAAAAATCGCAACAAATATTCAGCTCCTCCACTGAGAGCATTTCTGGTAAGTTGGCTGAGGTTCGTCTATATATTTGCGTATACGCAAAATAACTAATGCCACTTCGTCAGCTAGCGCAACGAAGGCGTTTAGCATATCCAAGGACGAGTTCCATCGAGTGTCCACGCTATGAATTAGTGTTTTGATTCTTCCTTCTGGTACTCCTTTGTCATTTTGACATTTCCGTAGTGCGTCCATATCAGCTGTGCTGTGCTTAAAGTGCATGACGATACGCTTAGCTTTGTCTAAAACCAAAGAAAAGGACTGAATGGTCTTCATAGAGTCGTCTACAGCCAAATGAATCGTGTGTGCAAAGCAAGGGACGTGGCTAGTAGCCACTGGCTACCCAGTCCAAGAAACAATTTCGACGCGGCTATCATATTCTTGGCATCTACAGACATCCTCCTACAGAACGTCCTCCTTTTATTTGTTCCAATACCAAACTCATTGCAAGCATCTTTCAACAGTTTAGAAATATATTCGCTTGTATGAGACTAAATGGGAAATTATAAGAAGAAAAATTATAAAATAATATTATTATTATGTATATGTGGACAGCCAAAAGACACAAATCACACACATAAATAAAATTACAAATCACAATACAAATACAATGCAATTAAGGGTTATTCAAGCATTAGTTAGTTAAAAGTTGAACGATATTAAGTTAATGAAAAACAAACGTAAAATGTTAATTTTCATTAATCAAATACACAATAGATCATGAAAATAATACCTATATCCGACCGGTCCTTCTAAATTAAATCTTTTTTCGTCGGAGTTGACCACTCTATGCCATTCAGAAACCCACGTGACGTGGGTTAACAATCTAATACTTTCGCAGAATGTCCCAAACTTTTATATTCATCAAATTTTTTCTTAGAAATATTTAGCTTACAATTATATAATGATTTTATTGTTTGGGTGGAATTAGGCAATTAAAAAGATACTTCTTTGAATGTTTAAAATATTCATAATTTAATTCTATTGATAATGGGAATTTTTTAATAACAGTGATCCGTAATTTACTTAAGTGTAATGTTTTATGTTTTGTCTGGTTATGCAGCCCACACCTGATGGCCCAGCTGCCAAAACAACAATAATAAATTTTCTCTGCGTAGCAAAACTTTGTCTCTCTTCCTGCCTTCTGCCTAACATAAACTTCATCACTCTCTCGCTCTATTCTGTAACTTTGCATAGCTGCCGTCCGCTAACTGCAGCAAAAATTCTTTTCGCAGTTCGTCTTCGTTCGGCTTCGCCTACGCTTGAAAGCAATCAGATCGCAATTTTTTCGGACCAATTCGGGTCATAATATCCACAGCGGCAATTCGGCTCGACTGTGCTGATAAACAATAGAAATCAAAGCTCGACAAAACGGTCAACCGTTTTGATCATTCGAATTCTTTCGGAGAGAGAAACAACCAAATAGCCTGAAAAGGGTCTCTCTCGCAGATGTTCTCGCTTCTTTGCTTTGTTTGCGATTCCGGTTAACTGTAACGGGAGATCGCAAAGACAAAGCTTTCGGGAAACGAAGCGGCAAAGAAACTACTCGCTCGCTTCTGAGTCGAAACAAGTGCCTGAGAGAGAGGGAGAGGAATGAAGCACTCGTATTTTTACGAAAAATTAAAAATAAATTCTACAAACAATTTAAACACAAATTAATGAAGAAATAAACTTAAGTGTGTGTTAAATTTTTTTTTCTTTTTGTTTCATTTGTTATTTATTTTAATCATTTAATTTAATTTAATTTAATCATTTACATTTTTAAATGTTTGTTGTCAAAAATGAAGAAATTGTGCAAACAATCAACTGACGCCACGCGAAATGTACAAATTAACAGCGAGAACTTTCCGCGAAGAAACCGGTCACACTTCAGACAACGATCCCGCTCTCTCCGCTTCAACCGAGAGAGAATA